GTTGCAGGCCCCGCCAGGACAAGTGTAATAAAAACTGTAGCCACGAAGGAAAAACACAGACGGTTCGCTCATACTTAGTGAACAGTCAACAGAGAAAAGAGCCTCAGAGCCAAATGTAGCCCAGACACCACCAGCGAGGTCACGGAGTGCTGGGAGGGTTGACAAGTCCCTTGACAATCCCTCTTTCCACCCTCCTGTCTCTGTTCCAGGCAGAGAGATAACTACCTTGGGCTCAGGGAAGTAGCCCCTGTGTCACTTGCTAGAGTTGGCATTTTCCAGGCCTCTAGGAATGACCCAGTACTTACACCATTTCCTGCTAAGTGAAGACCAGAACTAGGAGATCCTAGTCTTGTTCCATTTTATTTGCTTTGGTTTGGTCCTCATAGGAATGTGTTTTTAGGAGGAAAAATGCAGATACATATAAAGATACTTGGGTCCTTTCACCTAGAAAAGTGAGAGCTTTAGGGAAGGAAAAGTACAGTGATCTGTGGAAGCTGCATGGCATGGGCCAGCCCTCTCTGTGGCCCTGACTGTTTGTTTGTTTAAACAGAATTTATTTTTTAGAGCAGTTTTAGGTTATTGCAAGATTGAGCAGAAGTTACAGAGACTTCCCATGTGTGCCCAGCCCCCACATATGCACATCCTCCCCACTGTCAAATCCCAGAGTGGTGCAGACTGGTGCGTCCGCTACAACTGATGAGCCTCCAGTGACACCCTGTCATCACCTGAAGTCCATCGTTTATATGGTTCCCTCTTTACAGGGTCCACTCTCGGTTTTGGACATTCTGTGGATTTTGACAAACGTGTAATGACGTGTATTCATCCACTTTTATAGTATCACGCAGCAGGGTTTCAATGTTTGCTCATATAATTACTTCTCCCAGTGACTGAGCTGATCTCCACTGAGATCCCCTAGACAGGCGCACCCCACACTGCTTCATCTGGACTCTACTCACCTGGCAAGACCCCACTACTCTTTTTACGTTGACCTTTTGTTGAGTTAGGCTGACGATTCCTATGTCCTTTGAAA